TGAAACTCTTATCTTCTGCTAATTACCTAGAATTAGCTCCAAGCTATTACTTTTGTTAAATTTCTGGTTAGGTTACATTTAATGAAATTCATATGCACATCTTGACAGGGGCCGCAATATGTATGCACAAATTTCTGGACCTTCATCTGTACAAACTGTAGTGGAATACAGTAAGTATCACTCTCTGTCTGCGTATTGTTGTTCCCTATTTCTAATGCTACCTTTTTATGACAATTTTCTTTTTCCAGCCGAGAGTTCACCCACCGTGTTAAGTCCATATCTATGGCTAAATTTACTTCTCAAGAAGTTACTGCACTTCAAGAAGGGGGAAATGAGGTACTCTAGTCTACATCCATTTCATTTTATATCTTGTATTAATTTTTAGCTACTCTTTTCAAGGGTGCTTTTGTGTGTTTCTTATAGCGTGCCAGAGAAATATACTTTAAGGACTGGGACCCACAACGTCATTCATTTCCTGATAGCAGGTGGCTTCTAATTCTCTATTTTGGTTTCCTTCAGTATCTTTTGATAGAGAGTAAATTTGATCTCCTTGCTATTTCTTTTGAGTTCCAGTAATATCGACAGACTCAGAGATTTCATTAAGCATGTTTATGTGGATCAGAGATACTCTGGGGGAAGACATGGAGACAGGCCACAAATGTTGAAGGTGGTAACAGACTGAGGAATTGTTTGTTTGGAAAGTTGTGCATCTGTGTATGATAAGACTGTGATAATATAAGCCCTTCCTAGTGTTCCATCTCATCATCGTTTCTTGTGGTTTGTGAGTCTTACAGGGTGATAAGGACGTTTATAATGAAAACCGCAGGGCAGAACCATATAGAGGTGGTTCAAGAAGCCCACCATATGAAGATCGTTATAGTCCTAGTTATGGTGGTAGAAATGATGATCGTAGTTTCAGATACAACTATGGAGAAAGAAGTCCTGCATATAATCAAGGTGATTACAAGAGAAGTCCGGCTCGTTTTGAGGTGCTAGATGACAGACAGAGAGATGACAAATTTGGAAATGGAAGCCAAAACAGAAAGACTGAAGACCGTAGGCTCCCAGATGCACCAAAACCAGAGGGGAGATCACCAGATCATCAGAAAGATTTCAATAAGATGAGTCCCCCAGTGGTGCGCCCTGTGAGAGATATTTTGGGTGATAATGCACCACAACTTCAAGTTGGTGGTGCTGCTAAAACAAATGGGATCAGGGGCCCTGATGATTCTGCAAAGATAAAGGTGAGTTATATAGTGATCTATGAGGTTGATAACTACTTGTGTATGTAGCTGGTGTGACATGGATTTTATTTCATGCAAGTCATGTTAGACATTATGCTAGTAATTAAGGATATATCCATCAAGTTTACCTATCATATGCTTGTTGCACATCTTCATTTTGGTCTACTTCCTGGCTGGTGGATTTATTTAGTCATCAAAGACTTGAGATTTTGTCCTTTTATTACCAGCAAAAGCTGCTACTAAATGTTAATTTGTTGATGTTTCTTTTCTGTTTAAGTAAACGAAGCTGTAGAAAAGGATCATGGCCATTTTTAGGAAATGATACAAACACAACTATTATTTTCCTGATATCTTGTGGGTACTGATGATAGAGAAACATTATCTCTATATACTGATCAAGGGAGATGTCCAACCATGGCTTGACAGTCCAGGACTTGTAATCAATATAGGTTAACACAAACACATCAAAGGATTAATAATTTTGGGTATTGAACCTGAGCCGATCCATGACCAGCAATAAGCAATAGCAATGGACAGGCCACCAGGCGGCAATGCTAAGTGCAACGAATCTTTTTGGGCATCAGTTGGGTGAGAAACCGGGACTCAGTGTCAGCTGGGGGAGAAACATATATTAAAAACCCTAAACCCATAATGAAAAAAGATGTGCCAGATTGCCTGACAAGGGACAGTTCGCATCTCAATTCACGTACATGTCTGGTAAATACCGATCAGCACAAATCAGTCTGATGAAATATGATGAACCATAAACACAACCTTGTCAGCTTGGTGAGATAGGTCAAGACTTTTTAAATGGTCTAAGAAAATACTAATTAAATTTGATAATAAAAGAACCAATAGAGCACTGCATCTTTTATTATTTTAATCATAATTACGAAAATATGAAACTTGAACAATCAATAAATTTGATTGCTGCTATTAAGTCTGTAACATGTGTTATACTTTACATGAATCATAAAGGATGTGTTTGATATTAGCATAAGCAATAAAAGATCAGTTTTCTGATGAATTTCAAGGGGAGATGGTTGTGTGGATAGTATGAGATTTGTTTTGAATTGACAGTATTCTAAGATGTAATTCGTTAGGCTTATATGTGTTAAAGTAAAAGGACAAAAGGCTTCTGTTGATACAATGGGCTCTGTAATGTAGTTCATGTGGTGGCATATGTCATCTAAGTATGCTAAAAATTTTCTTTATTGCCTCATGTAAGGCCTGCACAGCATCGTTATACTATATGGCTAACTATGTATGTATAGGACCATATATTTAATTACATTATAGCCATTCACTTATTTTTTGATGTAAGTGCTGTCACATTAATTTCAGTCTATAATATCCAGATAAATATGATGAAAAATTTTCTTTATTACATGATGTAAGGCCCATAGATCATCATTATACTGTATGGCTACATATGTAAACAAATAAACTATATGTAAGCACATTATAGCCATTCACTTCTTTTGTGATGAAAATGCTGTTGCATTAATTTGAGTCCATGATAGCCATGAAATGGCTTTTACATTTACAGGCAAAGATCTTCGTTGCTACATATAAATTATATGGATTTGTTTTAATGTGCTTTCATTGAGAATATTAGTTTGTTCCCAGTCACAAACAGATTGGTGAACTAATGAGTTACTATTGGAACATAAATTTTGATTGATACATATGAACCATTATGCTTTTGTATCAATCTTTGTGTTCCTAGCCATAACAGATTTGGTAATTAAGTAGCACTGTTGGAACTATTGGAACACCTATAGATGGGCTGCTCATTCTTCATCAACTTCATATATTGCAGAGTACCTTATCTTCAAACAGCATAGATTCTACTGATGCAAATTCGGCACAGTTGAAAGGGTCGTTCTCTGAAAGTTTGATAGATTTTGATGTGGATCATGAACCTCCTGTTGCTGCAATAACAGAACAACCAGTTGCTCAACAAACTACATCTGGTAGTGATGGTGGTGCAGACTGGGCAGCTTTTGATACTTCTGGACAGCAGAAAGTACCTCAAGTGGATGCAAATGCGAACCCATTAGTGTCTGCTCTTGCCCAATTATCAGTTTCAGGGTCTACACCTGTAGGGAATTTGCCAACCTTGTCTTTTTCTCAAATTGAGTCCTCTCCCAAAGCTGGTGGTGGAGGGAACTTGCTCACAATGCAGCAGCAGCAGCAACCTCTGGTATTTCCATCCATTGATAATCCACCTGGTAATCAGTCATCCAACGTATCTGTTGTTGGAACTTCAAACAACCAGGTAAAGGCACTTGCTTTTCATGTTCATCTCAAAGAGTGTTCTGCAAGGTTCCATATTATACATGCTTCTTTCCAGACTTGGATTCCATCACCCGTACCACATGGGCAAGGAAATTTCACAAACCTAGCTATTAACCCAGCTGGACATCTTCCTCGGATAGCTACTAAGCTACCGCAAGAAAAAGTTGCTGGAGTTTCTTCACAGCCACCTTCTGCAGAGAGTAAAACTAGTGGAAGGAAAGAACTGCCAGTGGTAATATATTATTAGATCTTATTGCTCATCCTTGTTCCATGCTACCATCATTTCTTATGAAGAATAATATTTACAGGATTTTTTCACTTCTCTATATCCAAGTGCACCTGTAACAGCTCAAGGTTGGCAAAGAGGGCCATATCCTGGCATGGGGTATAACATACAATACCCTTCTGGAGTGGTATGTATTGTTAATTTGACATGGTTTTTGTTGCCATACTTGTATCTGTCTTATGTTTTACAACCTTTTGAAGCTAACTTCGATTTTTTTTTTTTTTCCTTCAGGCTATGCCTACATATTCTCAGACTCCAAAATCTGTGAATCCATTTGATCTTACCAGTGATCCAGCTGCAGTGGTATGGTAGTTGTAACAATTATATAATAAAACATTTAGTCTCTGGTTAAAACCCTCAGTAGAAAAATCTTCTTTCTGTTTCTTAGGTTTGTTCAGGAGGAGAAACATAAAAGTAAACTTTATTCAGCCGGGTTATACTCAAAATGAGAGCCAATAAAATAGAAACTTGTTCATAGTTCCAGTTACTTTTTCACATGATTTCTTTTTGGTGGTATCTAACTGGATAAAGTAAATGGCAATATAAAAAAAAACGCACAAAGCCATAATTTTCATACGTGAATGTTAGCAGTGTTCAGAAATTGCATGATGATGTTAGTCACAGCCATTTACACATCCACAAATAAAATGCATGCCTTTGGTCTCTACTCATGATGACCAGACCTTTTGCTGTAAGCACTTTATGGTTGGCATGGAAAGCATGATATGGTTCAATATTCTGTAAATGATTTAGTGCATGATTTTTTTCCTCCTACATTTTGTAGAATTAGTCATTGTTGTTGATGTCATTGTCATCTAGGCCTTTCCTGACAACATGAGGTGGGCTATGAATGAAGCATTGTTCAGAAGGCTCGATGAGAGATTTGAATGTATACAGGCACACATATATACTTGGGTATATATGCTGAATATACTACACACACTATACTGGTACCAATTCTAATACTAGCTCTATGGAGTTGGTTCTGTATGTATCTCTCTCAGGCCGTTCTAGACAAGCTTAAACTCATTCAAAGAATAGTTAAGAATCACAAAGTCTAGTTTTCCAGGTTTCAAAGCCCTCTTAAATAGGCAGACGCTACATGTCCTTGAGCTAATTTCTCTAGCTTTTTGCTGCTCAGAATCCTAGAGAGTAGTTTATCAAAGATACGTTTTCATGATCAGAAGCAGTTGCAAGCTTTATCTAGAAGAAATGGACATCTAACAGTTCAATCATGAATGCCGATTAACCCAAATCCACTAATGACTGCAAAAACGTCAGTTAAAGGGGTTCAAATCAAATCACCTATTTGGATACGTGAACATGCTGTCTATTTAATGTTCAGTAACTTTCTTATGGCAACCATTTTACAATACCTGTTTCTGACCATTGCATTGGGAAAAACAGTTGGAAGTAATTTAACGTGTCTCTGGTTCACATTTTCACTATTTTAAACTTTGTTGATCTAGCTTCTCCTTTTTTGCATCATCATTTAAGGATTTTTATTGAGAATATCCATGTGAATGAGAATGTTAACAGTCAAATTTTCTGGCACTTAATGGATTTTTCTATGTTCATGCTCTTATGGTCTCTGAAGATGTGATTAGTTCTATGACTACGTAGTTAAGTTCACCTAACAGAGAAGCTGTTTTTAAAACATGCTTATGATTTATATAAATGTATTTATATTACTTACTACATTTTTTTCCCTTTCACCCCGTTTTGTTTGATGGATGACAAATGTTTAGTAGTTAATTACAGTGTTTTTTGTGAAACTGTGGAATCTTAAGTTCAACAAAATTTATTATATAGTTGCTTGCTAGTTCCATCTTTGAGTTTTGTTTTTTATAGGTGATGCAGATGGTCACAGCTTTTTCTAATAGATTAGACAAATTTGGTGCTAACTGTCTAAATTATGTCTTATATACTATATAAGTTTCCTTCCCGGCAGTCTTATACTTATGATTTTCCAATGAATTTCATTCTGCATGATATAGTACCCCTCAGTGACACCTCTGCAAGCAGCATTATCAAACATGACTGCTCCAGCGACCTTACTTCGAACTTCCAGTTTTGGAGCCCCTTCCCCACATTCGGTTCACTTGCAACAGTCACCCTATGCATCAAGTGTCTCTCCAGGTAAAATCTAATGACACCCTTATGGTTTTTTACCCATTGGATTTAATGCTCTAATGTCACTAATATGAACATGATCTCAGGTCCATTCATGATGCATCAGGTTCCAGATAACATGCCTCAACAATTTGCTGCTAGCATGATGCCAATGGGGTAAGTCATACTGAAATTAATGGTTATTTTGCCGATTTTCTATTATCAGGGAGCGCTGTGAGAGCGGCATATAATTATTGCTTTAAATTACTGCTATTTACATTTCCTCAGACAGATCATATGCTTTTTTCTCATTTGTCTGTTGCAATTGTGGTAAGAAGATGTGCTTATGTCATCAGCTATCCTGTTTTCCTTTGAACAATAGAGAAGGGAGAAAAAAGAAAATTTTCTGTTGGATAATGGATTCAATTTCTTTGTTCCAAATTACTGTTTCATGATAAAGTAATTATTAGGGAGCACTGTAAGATTGCCATATAATCATTGCTATAATTGACTATTTATTACATTTCCTTAAAACAAATTGTATGGATTTTTCCCATTTGTTTGTTGCAGTTTTGGTAAGATGATGTACTTGTGTCATCAGATCTTCTTGTTTACCTTTGAACAATAGAGCAGGGAAAAAAAGAAAATCTTCTGTTGGATAATGAATTTGATTTCTTTGTTCAAGTTACTTTTTCACAAAAAAAAGATCATTGGTTTTGGAATGAAAGCAATGGCTGATGGTTATCTAACACGTCTGTTTATGGGTTAGCTCCCTCTATTAAAGTTTACAAGAATATTACATTATTCTATAATTAATATAATTAGAAATATTATAATTAAATATCCAGACATAAATTTCGTATGCTAGTACCTACCACCCAAGAGTTTCAAAATTAATTGTCAGCTTTTGAACTTGTGTTCCTTTTTAGGTGAATGACAAATTTTATAATATATATTATTTGGTCTAGAAGTTTCAACTTCTGTGTAACTAACTTGAGTACTATTTCTGTATCTCACTAGAGAAATTATTCAGAAAAGACTGACATTTACATACATTAATAAGCACTTTATGTATCTGAGTGCAGGAATCAAGGTATTGTAGCTCCTGCTAGCAATGGTGCTACTTTTAGTACTTCAGGCATTCATCAAAATCCAGCGGTCAGATATTCCCAACTGAGTACACCAAATTCTTTCGGTTCTGTTGGAGGAAATCCATTTGGATGAACAAGATAAATGGAACTACAGCTTGCAATTTGTGCCAGCATCTTGACATTTGTTCCCTACTAAAGAAAATTTGATTGAAAACTCTGGCTTGGTAATGCAATTAGCACCTGTGTGAGAAAGATTGCAGTCTTTATCTACCTTTGTAAGACCGGAAATGCTGGTTCCTTTAGAAAACTAGTACAAAGAGGGGAAAGGTGATTAGATTTCTGAGAATCGAGAAAGGTAACTCAAGAGTCGGTGTAAATTATTGTTCATTGTTAAAAAACATTAGTTATTCAGTCTGTTTTGAGTGTGTATTTTGGCAGTTTCTGCCTGGTTACCTTGTGACTGTGGGGTGCATAATTTTTATCAGTGTTTGTAACTTTGCATTATATTCCCTGTAAATTACATGTGATATCAGAGTGGACTGGATTTCGAGTTGTTATCGCTTAATAGCTGTGTACCAAATATGGTTAAGCTTCTTTTAACTTTTCACACAGGTTATTTCTTTCACATATTGTGCCTCATTTTCCAAAGTAAGGAGTTAAATTCCCTTATTGCTGTCTTTCCTTTTCTTTTTAATGGAAATATCTAAATGGAAAAAGGATAAACTTTTACTTTCGCCAAATTTTTTTGCACTACTGTATTTTTGAAGATGAGAATACTCTGCAGTTCCGTTTGTTCCCTGTTCATTGATGGTGGATGATAATGAAAATGTCAACTTTTCTTTCCTGTCTTCGGAATGCAGGTTTTTTTTCCTCTTATTCTTAAAACGATTTAGTTTATTTTATTTATCAATGCCAATACATATAAAAAGGAGAATACTTTTATATGTATTTTTGAAGATGAGAATACTTTTATATGCTTGACATAAAAGAAAAAGGAGAGGGAGTTTTGGTTGCACTTTGTGTTGGTGCACTAGGCTTAGCCATGAGCATAGCCATGTGAACGATGGCCAATTACATAATACATTTTTTAGTTAGACATTTTTAAATTTTCGATCTTTAAATTTAAAAATTTTATATTAATTTTTATAATATATTTTTTAATTAGATATTTTTAGTATTTCGATCCTTAAATTTAAAAATTTTATATTAAAAATTTTATAGTTATGAAAGTGAAACATTTAGTTTCATTTATCCAAACGTTATTAATTTTATTGACGGAAGTATCAAAACAATGGATAAAAATATTATTTTAATATTTTAATTATATTTTCAATGATAGCAAACGACAACGTCGTTGGAAGGAAAGTAATAATGAGAGGTCAGGCAACGATGCAAATACCAACGCTTTGCATTTTCTTCGGTGTTGACGCAATTACTGAGTGATAAAAGGGATGCTCGACATCTACATTAGAGTCGATATAAATGCAAAGCGGCAACACTTGCATTTATGTCGACACCTGCATCTACATTGACATCAATATAGGTGTGAGCGGTTCTTACGTCACTTTGTATCTGCGTCGGTGTTAACATAATTATCGAGCGGTATCGACACGAATGTAGAGCATCGGCATCTGTGTCGACGCCTTACCTCTTACCGTTGCTCTCCCTTCTTATCTATAATAGCCACTCGCAATTCTTAGCAGTGTCGTCGTCCATCATTATCAAAAACGTAACTTGATATTTATTATAGAGATTCTAATATAAATTTTTTAAATATAAAGATTAGGATATTAAAAATTTTAACTATAAAAAATATATTATAATTAGACCTGCAGATGAGGTTGTGAAGTCGTTGTCTCTAAGCCCTAAGCTAGATGCGCTATCCGAGATAGATCGGCCCACCTTTGTAAAGGATGAAGTCCTTTTCATCGAGAGGGTAGATTTATAGTGGGAGTTGGTGGACAAATTGAATGCATCTATTAAGACCTAGGCCTGATGGGCTAACTGGCCTATCAATTTCGTTTGGTTTAAACCACTGACCAAAATGCTTAAGCTGAAGTTGATAGTAGTACACTCATCAGACCCTTATAAGTCATTCTTAATCCTGTCCACTTTCGATGTGGGACTAATCAGGGGTGTTACAGCATCTGTACAAAGTTTTAGCTTCTCTTTGGTGTGCTAATCTTGCAATAATAACTGGTGTGCACTATCGTCAGCATCTTGCTCGAAGAAACAACATTTTTCTAACAGTATGGAGCAAGCTCACAATAGAAAAGGCACGTATCCGTTTTAATCATGAACGAGTAATGCACATCAATAACCGAGTCCATCGAGTATGGGAGACATGATCCGACACTCGTTTATCCCTACATTGCAAAGGCAAAAGAAATTAAATATGAGGATAAAAAAAAAAGCTATTGGTGGGCTAATTATAAATTTATATTGAAATTATTATAGTTATGAAAGTAAAATATCTAATTTTATTCACCTTAACGTCAACGATTTTATCGACGAAAACATAAAAAACAATAGGCAAAAAGGTAATATTAAATTAGTAGTTATGTTTTCAATAGTGACAGATATTGTGGATGATGAGTGAGAGCGACAACGAAAGATGCGACATAGGTAGAGGAGAAAGAAGATGATACAAATATCGACATTTGGCAATTATGTTGACGCTAGCGCAGATGCAAATATAGAGTGACATCACTCTGCTTCTACATTAGCACTAACAACAATACGGGAAAAGGCGACGCGACTCTACATCTGCGTTAGTGCTAATATAAATGCAAAGCAACGAAAAGACTACTCAAAATTTATTTTAGTGCCGACATAGATACAAAGTAACGATGCTCTACATCTGCATCAGCATCGATGCAAATGTCGAGCAACTCTTTCGTCACTCTGCATCTGTATCAGCACCAACATAGTTGTTAAGCGACGTTGACTCAAAGCATCGACATTTGCATCGTTCTCCTCCTCCTCTCCTTTTGTTTTATCTCTCACCGTCACTCTCCCTCCTTATTTATAACTATCACTCATAGCTCCCGCGTGATACCATCGTGTGTCATTATCGAAAACATAACTATGGATATTAAAATTATATTTTTGTCCATTGTTTTCATAGTCCTATCGGTAAAACCAATAGCATTAGGGTTAATGGTGTTAGACATTTCACTTTCATAATTATACATATTCTAATATAAATTTTTTAAATATAAGATTTGAGATTCCTAAAATATCTAACTACATAATTTATAATTAACCCTCTATCGATTGTCAAATATCATATCCTAGTAGTGAAAAAATATTATTCCACAAGAATAATTTATAGGCTTTATCATAATTTAGTTTTGTATAAGTTGATAAAAATTTTAATTAGTTTATAAGGAATTGATTAGTCCACTGTAATTAGTTTGGATTTAAATATTTTAAATTAATATTTTAGACTTAATAAGTTGATGGATCAATTATGCTATCGAACAACTCTCTCGTAGCCAATTAGCTATCATTACAAGGCCTCTGCCGAGGAAATGGGATAAGTGTTTCCCTGCACAGCATCTATTCTGTGATGAATGGATAACGCAAATATCTTGATTTTTTTGAATACAAGTATCCAAAGAAATGAGAAGACAAACCTAAAACTAAAAGCTGCAATACAATATTATCAGGGACAGGAATATTTTGATTATTATGAGGGACAGGAAAAAGACCTCCCTCCCTCCATCCGCCTTTGTCCTTTTGCACCCTCTTTTATCCATGCCGGTATAGTGCACAACATAATAGCGATGTGGAAGCAAATGCGATTGGGTGAGTGTCCTCAAGAACATGGGAATCATTTGGATCCTTCCCCAATCTCTCACTGTCCAGCCCTGGCACTGATGAGAATGAGAAAGCAGATGAATTATGAGCTCAAACGAGAGGACGAGAAGAGCGAGGCATGTCGGAGTAACTTCTACGGGAGGGGTCTTCAAAGATTCTCGCATGCCGTCTTGCCTCCGATCCTTTCTGTGCTAAGGTCTTACGATCGTCAGATGGTTACTCCAAGCTCGTTCCTTTGGGATTTATTAGATTTTGCTGTGTATTGATTTCTCATATTTTACTGCATACTAACTTCCTAATCAGTATAAATTTTTGCTAATGATATACTTAGTTTCCAACCTATTCCAAAAAATTATAATCAGGGATGTATATTTTTTCAGCTCGAACTAATTACATATTACCCCTTATAATTGGATATATTTAATATATTGGTTTCAACACTTTTAAAAATTATGTTGAGATTTTTATAATTATAAAATTAAAGCATTTAAACCAAAGTGAGACAGAACCATCACGTGTTTAGTGATAATCTTTGTATTTTCGTAAGTATAAAGATTCAAATATAATTTTTAAAAGCATGAGAATCAGAATGTTAAAAATAGCTAATTAGAAAAGATAATATATAATTAACACCCTCACCTCTGAGCTAGGGAAAGATTTCTTCTTAAATTGACCAATTTATTTAGTCGATTGGCTTTTGATCATTTTGATTTTTTTAACTTCTATGAGAGGAAAATATGCTAATACAATTTTTTTATTAATTAAAAACCAGATATTTTATTGGATTTTTTTTATTTTTATAAGAGCATATATATTAATCATTAAAATGTTATATAATTATTTTTTAAATCATAATAATATTTTTATAATAACCTAAGGAATATTATATGCAAAAGGTTTTTGTGAGATCTAAGGATACGTAATCTTATTTTTTTAAATATTTAACAAATTTATTTTCAGAATCATAATATCTTAAATAGCAAAAAAGGAACAACTTTTTATGGTTGTCTCATTTAACAATATAATTTATTTCATTATATAAAACCTTCATGAATTAAGTCGTGGAAAAGTAGCATCGACGTTAACTTAGAGATAGTCATATCGTCGAGCGACTTAAGAGCACCGCTTGAAGCACGGCAAAGAGAAACGAACCAGAAATAAATGGCGCATTCAAGAACATTAACTTGTCTTCCACCTCGAGGACTCTCTTTGGCTCCTTCCCTCTGCTGGCCTCCACCGTCCCCGTGAACCAACTGGAGCTGTACCCAAACCAACAACGTTCTGCATAATGCCTGCCGCCTGCTCGATCGCCACAGCGCCAAACGAGGAGGCTCATCAAAACCCGGACCCATCTCACCACCAACAGCGGTCAATCGATGAGTGGCGATGGGACCAAGCAGCCGCCGTAATGGGTAAAGATCCAAGTGCGGTCTGATCGATCACGGCCACTCTCTTGCAGGCTTCACCGACGATTACGGCAATTAATATGGGACATGGACGCCTCACCCACTCACTGCAATTCACTTTCCACAGTCGATGGACTGCTGACCGCTTACCACTGCAGGAAGCAGTTCAGAGAATTTATGTGATGGCTTAATGGACGTGACATTGCAAGTTACTCAAACCACAGACTGCACACATAAAAACCCGATCAAGACGAGTAGTAAGGCAGAACTTTGAGAATCCACAAGTGTTCGTGATGTAAAAATATAGAATGGAAAGAACAAAGTATAACAAGAAGATGACGACGATACCACAATTGATCTGCACGCATGTCTTGGGTCTCATGTTCTCTATACATACATTTTTTTGTCCCTGCAACCTACTGTTCAGTCTCTTGCTCTGTCGACAGTTCATTCACAAACCCATAAACCATTGCATAATTCAAATTACGTGGAGAGGTTCCTCTTAATCCCACCCTTCAGTGCTTCTCCAACTCTGCATCCATCACCATGACGGAAGTTGAATGCACCAAGCAGTGTTCTCGAACTTTGAGCTGTTCCTGGTGAGCTACGAAAGCAGCCAGAGAAATAACGTAGCGCCAATTAATGGAACACTTGATGGAGAAGATGGCATGATAAGAATCCAAATGAATGAAGACATTTTTCTGATGCCTAATTGAGGATAGGAGAAGGACGAGGACAATTTTCAAAAGAATCAATGGAGAGGAGGGGGAGGCGGAGATGCGTATGAGACTCCGACGACAGGTGGCAATGGACCTCCGTAATAGGGTGTTAGCGGAGGTGGTGAAGATTCCGGTGGTTCTATACATGGAGGCGGAGGTGGCGGTGGTGACAAGTAGTGATAAACCGGCGGTGGAGGCGGAGAGTTGGGTGGGGGTGGAGATGGGTATGGTGGCGGAGGAGAATAATAATGTATGGGAGGTGGTGGTGAATTAGGCGGTGGAGGCGATGAATAAACTGGTGGAGGTGGCGGCGGCGGTGAAGGAGGAGGTGGGGATGGGGGCGGCGGAGACGGAGGTGGTGGCGATGGAGATGGGGGAGGTGGAGGAGATGGTGGTGGCGGAGACGGGGACGGCGGGGGTGGTGATGGTGGTGGCGGCGGCGGGGGAGACGGCGGAGGAGGCGAGGGAGGCAGCGGCGGCGGCGGAAATGCCAGCACGAACGGCTTACACCGAAACCAACTGCAGTCCACCGGGTGCGACAAGAACGACTCGCACTGCTTCCCCGACCGCTGCAACGGCCGCTCGGGAAGGCAATTCCTCCGGTCGTCGAATGACTGCACCTTCAAGCACGACGGCGGCTCGCCGGTAAAGAAATTGTAGGAGAAGGTGAAGTTTTGCAGATGCGGGAGCTGGCAGATGGACTCCGGGATGCGCCCTGACAGCAGGTTGTGCGCGACATCCAACTGCTCGAGGCTGACCATGCGGCCGATCTCCTCCGGCAGCGGCCCCAGCAGCTGGTTGAAGCTGATGTCGAACACGGTGAGCTTCCTCAGCAGGCCGATCTCGGGCGGGAGGCAGGACCGCAGCCCGTTGTCCATGAGAATGATCTCGTTCAAGGTGTTCGACATATTGCCAAGGCTGGCTGGGAGGCAGCCGCGGAAGCGGTTGTTGGCGAGGACGATGACGGAGACGGGGGAGTTGCCGATATTATCGGGGATGTCGAAGGCGAGCCGATTGTGGTTGATGAAGATGGCATCGAGGGGCTTGTCGAAGAGCTCGCGAGGGACGCCGCCCTCGAACTCGTTGAACCGGATGTCGAGGAACTTGAGCGAGGGGAGCTCGAGGAGGACCCTGGGGAACTTGCCGGCAAAGCGGTTGTTGCTGAGGTCGATCTCAAAGAGGCGGGTGAGCTGGCGGAGTTTCTGGGGGACGGTGCCGCAGAAGCGGTTGGAGTTGATGTGGAAGAGGGCGAGGTCGGTCAACAGGCCGAGCTCCTCAGGGAGGTACCCGGCGATGTCGGCGTGGTTGAGGTCGATACCTGCGACGACGGTGAGGGAGCGGTTGCAGGGGAGCGGGGCGCAGAAGACGCCATAGTAGGAGCAGACATTGGGCCCGACCCAGCTGCCGGTGAAGTTGTGGGGGTCGGAGAGGATGGCCTTCTTCCAGGCCTGCAGGGCGACATAGGCGTCGCGGAGACGGGGGTTAGGGAAGCGGAAGGACGGGTCGACGCTCACCCGCTCGCCGCGGTCGCCGTACTCGTCGAGGTAGTACAGCAGCTGCCGCCTACGGATGAACCCGGCCTCAGCGTCGGTGAGGCCATGGCTGCTGAAGGCGGCCGCTCTCGCCGCCGCAAATGAGATCAAGAAGAGGAAGAGGAGATGAAGCTTTTCCGTTATGCTGCTTCTCCTCTTCATCTCATTCTCGGAACAACAATTACGCTTGTGGAAGGGCGAAGCAATACGAAGAGGAGAGTGAGGAGAATGGGGCAAAGGTGTTTGCTTTCTAGGTATGTGGAGCAGAGAGGGGAGAGGAGAACACCAAGGACAGCTAACGCACAGCTAAAAGCCCACCCCACAAGACGAAGGGCATTCGGCTCCTCTAAATAAGCTCGCTTCCATGCGCGCGCGCGCGGAGGCGATCGGGTCGCTCCTCGCCAAATATTTAATCCCGAGTGCATCAGCGGTAAAAAGAGGGGCAGTCATGGGCAATTCCGACATTTTGGCGTCTGTCATGCATGGATGGATGGATGGATGTCGATGGTGATGGGGACGGAGGGATCAAAAGGTCGGGCGGGACCCACGAGACGCCCACCATGCCATGTGAGCGGGCCCCATGGTCACTTCCGAGCGAGGCCCACCCGCCGCACCGCGTCCCCCGTGACGATAACCAAGCCACGTCACAAATCTCCCTCAGCCTCCACGACCAAAGTAGCTAACCCGTTGCGATCGCCGTCACATTTGGCCCGATTCTTCACTGGACGACTACACGAATAACTATTGACTGGCGATCGCAAGATAATTCTCCCGCTGAAATGTCATCTTCCTCGTTCGTTGACGACCTCTGTAGTGCGAGGCCACACAGCTCATGTTCTCATCAGGACCACCGCAAAGAGGCAACAGACAGTTCAAATCCAAGTCGATTGTTTAATCCCGAGATAGAATATTGATATACGAAGAGCAGTGTTGGAAATTTGTAGGCTGAGGACTAACGCATCGGTGATGCAGGTGCAAAACGTATTGCTGTGGAATTCTATTCCACAGCTGTTCGGTTTGTCTCCTTCGGCTTTACAACCCCATACACGATTCTTTCTCTAGATATAATGGAAAAGGATTCCCGTATGACCAAGAAATCATAATAACTAAGGTCGTTCTGCGAATTCATTAGACATGAACTGTGTGTCATACATACAAAGGCGTATCCGACGCGACTATGAAAGCGTGTCACAAGAGACTTCACTAAGAAAAAGAAGTTGGAATCTTCCAAATGCCAGTGGGCAAGTAGCTGTTCTCCAATCATTCATTCTTCCATGGCTTTTCCTTCTCCCCATCCCAGCCTTCCGTTCCTCCCTATCTTCTCACTTCGACAGCACCCCATACGCATTAAATAATTTTATCATCATTACTGTTGTATTATTTTATTAGTCGTCGTAGTAGGAGCAGCAGCTGCTGCTGCTTCTTGTGTGTGCTGGTCATCAGAATGATCTCCTCCACCTGCATGTGAGCGGTTTGCACGAGACAACGCTATTTTTGTTTCCTTCTCCCAAAAGGATAACACTTAATCCTTGCAGTTTGTCACCTCTTCCTTCTTTTGCTCGGAAAAAGGAGGAAGAAACTAAAAAAAGAAGATTGGGGTTGGTGTGGCGCGTCCATCATTGATTTGTGATTATATAATTTGAGCTCTTCTGGAGCTTCTCCTTTGATTATTTTCTCAGCTGCTCACGTTCTCTGTCGATGCTATACCTAATCTAGCTGATAACGTTTCAAGGTCAGCTTCGTCTCATAGACATGGAGAGAGAAGTCGAAAGAAGAGCTGCGGAAGACGTGGAGAGTGGGTCGTCATAGCTGCTGTTCTCTTGCAACAGCTGGGATGGGAAGGAGACAGCTGACGAGAGAAGTAAACGCGTGGTTTATGGCAAACCGTTGCACATTGATTAATGGAACTTGGAAGGAGAGCTGGGAGCCAACTTGGGGCACGGAAGTCAACCCGACGATGGCACGGTGGTGGTGGCATGTCCATCGCTCGCCACCATGCATCGTGCACTAACTTATCTGTTACTTGGAATGGGCTGTAAGCTTCGTCTTCCTTGCCACAAACAAGTAACGTGTGCTTGATGCCGCCTACTTAGTTCAGCTGGTGACTGGCTATCGCATTACTGATACCTCGTGGACGCTTCAATCGTCGAGCTCGAGATAGCAAACGAGCAGCTCCTCCACGAAATCCCAGTCGAAGATCTCCACGCACTGTGAATGCATGTTCTCCATCATCATCAGCATCGACTGCCATAAGAAAAATTGTTGGTCAAACCTTCTGGTTGAGCAATTCGATTTTAATTTTTTATGATTGTTTTTTATTCGGAGCTCATTGATTTGAGTTTTATAGATACTCCGTTTACTTTGACAAGTAAAATATTTAATAAATCCAAAATATTTGTCTACCTAAATAAAGTCTATGTTAATTTCACTTGGATTTCTAATTCCTTTGTTCCATATCTCCCGAAAATTATCTCAAACCATTCTTCTCTCATTATTTGTGTCAATCAAAATATGGCTCACAAACCTCATTAAAAAAATCTTTTGTTTCAAGACTCAGTTAGAAAGAAATCACTCGGGTCAAAAGCTTGATCTCCAATGCTTGGGCTAAGCCTAAACTTACGATTCCCCCTATGATCTCTATTTCCCAAAGCTTGTTTAGACTTCATTTTCTCCTGATTACGTGTACATAGAATGAAGGTGGCAACCTTAAACATTATATTGTTGAAACTAGTACTCCATCACCTGTATTGTATTGAGGAAAAGGAGTCATCTTATACTCTTAGTGAGGAAGAATATTGCACCTGCAATCTCTCCATAACAAGTTTGTGGCCCTAACCAGGAAGGATCACCTCTATTGGTGGTCTAAGGCTAAAACTGTATGGTTAGGGGATGGGGATAGAAACATTAAACTTTTTTACCTATCTATTCAACTTTGAAAAAAAATTAATTTTATTATTTTTATTTATCAATAACCGCTTGTTAATATATAGACCCCTAAAAGTTTGATCCTTTGTCTCTCTCTCACATAGGTTTGGAACTAAATCTATGTACTCAATAATATGCCTATTTTATTCATAGAAGACTTATTTGTGAGTTTTTGCTTGATAAAATTAATTCTATAGTCTTTAACATAAGCTTCTATAAAAGCCCAAGTCCTGATATGTTATGTACTCAATAATATCCCTAATTTTATTTTATTCATAGAAAACTTATTTGTGAGTCTTCGCTTAATAAAATTAATTCTATAGTCCTTAACGTAGGCTTTGATAAAACCCCAAGCCTTGATGCGTACATATTTAAAATTTTCAAGGATTTATAGAATACAATCAAAGAAATCCTCTTCCATGCCTTCAAGGATTTCATCATCAACAAGAGTAATAAAAATTATAGACATATAGCACTTTGTAATATTATTTATAAAATCTTTATCAAAGTTATTGTGAATAGAGAAGACCTCTCTTAACAACTTAATCAATAATTTTCAATCTGCTTTTGTCTCGAGCTACAATATCTATAATAATATCCTTATTATCAATGAGCTAGCCCTGTAGCCAACAATAAAGGCAATAAATCCTTTACTATTCCTAACTGAGATCTCTTGAAGGCTTTTAATAGTATTTCCTAGTTTGCTATTTCCAAAACACTCTTTCCCTTGCCAATTCCATTTACCTTTGTGAAATAGATTTAAACCGGATTTTCTCACCCTCTTTTGCTTGTCTTGGCAATTGCTATATCTCTAAGTGATTTAGAAATAACCATAATATTAGATAAGACGATCCACTCTTACCGTATCTTTTATGCAATAAGTCTTATCTATGATATTATCCCTTAAGGATAAAGTAAATAATAATGATATTATCCCTTTCAATATTAAATATATCAAAATTTTGATTGTCTTTACCGATGATATTTTGATTGTTACTCTAAAACCTATTCTAATTTATACAAAGTAATATAAATTATTCTTTTTAAGACATTGTGATCCCTAAATCAAGTATAAAATATACTCATTGTTGGGTATCAATGAAGGATCTTGACCAATGTGATACTTTAATTCATTTGTCTTGATACCTTAGTTCATTTGTCTCTCATAAGCAACTTACTATTCCTCTTCAACAATCTCTTATGAATAAAGCTCTTCATAGGATTCAAAGTTGGCAAAAAAAATTCTTCTCTCTTAAGCTTGAAAGCTTATCTTAATTAACTTAGTCATCAATTCTATTACTATTTACTATCTTATGAATTTTAGATTTTCTAACTATATCCTCAATAGGATTGTGCATCTTCCTTGAAAAATTTTTAAGTCAAAGACATAACTATTGTTAGAGATAAAATTTACATTATAAGACTATTTCATCTTCTAAACAATGATAATAGGATTCGGATTAGGATTCTTAAAACAAAATATGAAGATGTTCATCCTTGGACCAACCACAAGCCTATGTTTTCCTCTTCTAACTAGAAAAATCTTTGCTCTCTTATTTTTAATATTAAATTAAACTTTAGGAAGGATGTTAGATCTGTCTCTTCTATTAGTACCCGAGAGGACTCATGGATAGATAACCCCTTTATTTTTAGATGATTAATTTTTGTTAATATGAGGTTTTTGAATTAGTAGTCAAAAGCATCTGTTTTCATTTTCTAAATAGATGCTATATGATCTCAACTTTTGTTTTCATCCATTGTTGGTCAAGAGGATTAAAAAGATTCAATTTTCGATTTTTTCCTGTGATGATTTTTGGATTTGAGTCTTTACTCCAAGCGATAGGATCTCTACAACTAGTGCTTATCATTCGTTGAGAGAGAGGCATCATTAGAATGATCAACTTTAGAATGTGTCCATCTACTTTTTTGGTACCCATAAAATTATGGAGATAGTCACAACTGACTAAAGATCAAGATTTACATATTAACATAATTATATAGAAAACAAATATTTTTAAAATATATATACAATTTTTAAAATATAAAAAAATTTTGTATAAGAAAAGTCTCATATAAACTTTATTGATTTCATAATATAGAAATTTTCAACAATAGTTAGTTTCATACAAATAATATTGCAAAGCAACGTATAAAATTGACTACATTTTTCAATAACAAACTTTATAATATTAAGGAACCAATAGATAATATATTAGGTACAATAATTATAATAATATTATATCCATCCAAAATCATGCAACATATTTATCCCTGTATTAAACAATTCATTGCTAATCATAGTCACAACAACCGGATAATTAAAGATGTTTCGTTCTGTAATATATGGGAAATTGGGAGTTAAAACGGTTGCTTGCAAATCATTTTAAATCTAAGCAAAATGATATTATACTTGAAACTAATGAT